TGGACTTAGCATTCCAGGGTCGGACCTGTGCTGCCATTTTGTGTTGCCCCTCATGGAGCAGTACCAGAGCATCCATCCCCAAGTCTCCATGTCCCCAAGGTCCCAAAGCCTGCACCCACCTGCTCCCCATCCCTTCACCAGCACGGCCTATGCATTGCCTCAGAGGGAGCCCTCACCGTGCTGGGCTCAGTGCCACAGAGGGGAGCACACCCAAGGCCCAGCCCTTGCACAGTCAGCGCTGCAGGACGAACTCTGTGACTGAAGGGGAGGATTGTTGTGTGCCCCTCTGCATTGGTGAAATGCTGAAGTGACCCAGCGCAAAAAGCCTGGAGTCTCCAGTGGGAAATGCACCTGATGTGGGCCCAATCCTCCTCGCCTGCCATGCTGTCAGCTGTGAGAAAGCTTCCTGTCTCCAAGACTGCCAAGCTGCCCGCTGCTCGAGCAGTCAGATGAGATTGATTTCCTTGAGGAAAGCCATGGCCCTCCAGCACACAGCTCAGAGGCGTGATGATGGTGCGGCAGGGGCACATGTGAGGTGATGGGTGAGGGTGGTCCCAGTTTGCAGTTTGTGTTTGGCCACATCTCCTTGCTCTGGGCACAGAGATGGGCCGGGTGATCCCAGAGGTTCCTCCCTGCATGTGTTACTCCACATGCTGAGCATCTTGAGCAAGCTATTTAGGTCAGAGCTTCTGTGGAGCAGCACCCAGCCTCAGAGGAGTCAGGCCAAGCCACCCAGCACCCTGCTTACCAGGCTCAGTATCTCTGGAAAACATGGATCTCAACTGCTTCGTTGCTTCTGTGTTGGAGGTGAATCTTGCTTATTTACAGGAACTTGAGGTGCTGAAGGCAACGTGCCTGCTGACTGCAAAGTAACGATTGTAATATACCATCACTCAGCTGAATTCCTGTCAGCTGGAAAGGTTTTGCACAATGCTATCCAAGGGAGACTGGGAGGCATTTCCAGTCAAAAGGAGCACTGCCTACGGAGTCAAATGGGAACCATGTCTGTGGTCTGGGGACAGGCAGTCTCAGCCTGCAAAGCCAGGTGCTTAAAATCAGGAGACCCTGGGTCTGTGGTAGTATCCCCTCCAACTCTCCTCCTTCCCTACCTCCATTGACCGTCAGGATACTCCTGACAGAACAAGTGGAGGCCCTGGGGAGCAGGCTGCCAACTTCCAGGTGAGGTTTCTCCTGTTTTCTGCTCCAGGAGAATAAAGGGAATGGGCCTGAGGAGGCTGAGCATTGGGACCATCCCATTGACACACAAAGCCCCATGGGCTGAGCTCTCTAGGGCACAGGGGCATGCCCTTCTATTCATGCTTCTCTTCCCTGGTGAGGAGCTGCTCATGGTGACTGCTGAACTATCAGCAGTTCATAGAATCACTAAGGTTGGAAAAGACTTCTAAGATCAGCAAGTCCAACCCCAACCCATGCCTGCTGGCCATGTGCCTTAGCACTGCATCTCCACGTTCCTTGAACACCTCCAGGGGCATCAGCTGCACCACTGCCTGGGCAGCCCTCTTCCCTTGCTGCAAAACCCCGCTCTCATCAGATGATGATGGCTCCTTTTATTGCTGGGTGCTGCTCTGGGAAAGGTGCGCATGTCAGGAGGGAGCTCCAGCCGTGAGCACTCCTCATCCTTTGGTTTGCATCAAACACCCCTTTGGGCTCAAGGCCACATCACAGCCTTCCCACACAACACCACCGGCTCTGCCTTGCTGAGGCCAGATAGGTTTGCAAATAAGTTTTTTAAAAGAGCGTATGCAAAAGACACACAAGCGGGTAGGTCTGCAGCACTCAGCTGGTGGGAGATGAACACTTCTCTCCAGAGCACAAGTCACAAAACCTGCGCCATGCAGGCCCCTGTGCCTGGAGAAGTGAGGACCTACCCATCAACCTCGGATCCCAAACAAGTATGGCTTTGCTCCGCACTGAGAGGCTGCTTCCACCCTGTGGGCAGAGCCAACTGCTTTGGGACGGGGCAGGCAGACGTTTCCCTGGGTGTTCAGCTCCACACCTGGTTCTGCTTGCATCATGGGGAGCCAGCAGCTCTGTGTAACTCAAAAGAAAGCAATGACTCATTGGGCTGCAGCTCTTTCCAAGTATTTCATGCATTTCGCAGGCACGCTAGCCCGTGTTATGAAATGCCCCCTCTTTGTGGTGCGCATTGTCATGTCCTGTACGAAAACAGAGGGCTCAGTTTTCCATTGTGCACCGGCACAGCACAGAGAGAGGAGGTAACGTGCACACAGTTCTGCCTCCATCGCTATTTGCATCGTATTAGGAATGCAAAATGCCATCCCCGCACCACTCTGACAACCTGGCTCCCCGCTGACGTTAGCCCAGCCATGAGGTGCTGGCGGTATGTTTTAATGAAAATGTTAACAAAAATATAAAGTTCCACCCTCCAGCCAGGACTGGAGGGGTGGGAGTGGGGAGAAGGTGGGGAGCAATGTCCTGCACCATGCTGTCAGGTCAGGGCTGTTCCCTGTCCCTGACTGGGTGGCAGTGGGAGCACCAGGGCGAGGTCCCCATCCACGCTGTTGTGATTTTCTCCCTGCAGGGGCTGAGGAGCAGAGGCTCTCTCCAAGTCGTGCACCTGGGGCTGGTGTGACCCTCTCCATGGAAAGCTCACCAGGCACAGCTCCAGGCGGAGAAGACGACCCATGATGGCAAGCATGCCTGTGCCCCACATGTGCCTACAGATTACATCTTGGTGACATTGTCCCCGTGCCACTCACTGACATTAACAAATGGAGTAATTGCAGCTCCCTGCTGACTGCGTGGGCTGGTTGCACCGGGCGCAGCCGTAAACTTCTCCGGACAAGCACTCCTATATTATATATTTTAGCAATCTGTGCTCGGAAGCAGATTTGAATTTCCACTTCAGGCTCTGAGAACCGTTCCACTGAGATAGGGGCAGATAACATCTCCACTCAGGATACCTCTGTGCCTTTCGCAGTCGGCGGCGTTTTGCTAAGAATGCTCTCCATTTTCATATCTCGCTATATCATCTCAGCTGAATAACCATTATTTTGCCTTTAAAATAAGACGCGGAGCCTCTTAAGCACCGTTCCATCGGAGCCCCGATCCCAATCAGTTCCCTCGCACCGCGCCGATGCAGCGAGCCCTGCGGCATCGCCGGGTTTAGGGCCGTAAGGGCGGGTTCCAGGCTCCCTCCTCTCTCCATCCCCCATCACCATCGTCTTAAAACTGTTTTTTCTGTCCTGAAAAGGAAGGTGAGCTGTAAACATTTTTTTTTTTTTTTTTAATCTGGAGCGATTTGTGAGCAAATTACCTGTATGGACCACAATAAAAGACGCGTGCTTGCTGTCGGCCAGCAGTTCTCCCCCAGAGCCCCAAGCCCGGCTGTGGGGCGGCGCGCAGGGACGGCGGGGACAGCGTGGAACGCAGAGCTGTGTGCTGAACGGCAGCCACGATTCTGTCAGCGCGAGTGATGGTCTGTGTGAGGGATTAATCCGACACCAGACAGGGATTCCTAATCCTTCGCTATATCATAATCTATTTACTTTGCATGCTAAGAGGATTTCGGCTTAAAAATATACAGGAAGTGATACTAGAAATGTACATAAGATGCAAAGCGCCGTTTCCTAAAATCTCACTTTCCCCCCCAACCCCTTCCCCGTAAAATCCTCTGATGGTTTTCTTGCAAAAGTCCCATCCTGGAGGAGCGGGGACTGCTGTCCCCAGCACACAGCCCTGCGCACTCCGAAAGCTTTCGATGCCCGACCGAGGGAACGGCGTTGCACCAGGAGCGGCGCTGGCACTTCCCAGCCGGGGCTCGGACCCGTGTGGGATTTTACATGCGGTTACTGCTGCTCTTGTGCCCGAATTAGCGGCGACGGGATAAGGTGGAGGGCAGCGGCGGGGCTCCTCTCTTGCCCGCTGCAATACAGTGACCGGAGCTGCCGAGAGCGGCTCACCGCTGCCTGCACGGCACTGCGCCCGGTGGGCGCTGGAACAACTTTTCCCTGCGTAAAGAAGGGCTGCGGGGGCACCGGCGCTGGGACGAGCACAGCCGGTGCCGGCAGAGAAACCCGGCGCCGCTCCGTAAATGCTGTTCTATCCACAGCAGGTGGCACAGGATGCTCGCTGCCCGCATCGCCCGGCAGTGGCAATTCCACCTGCATGCCCTGGAGTGAGCGACCCAACAGTGCTCCAGCTCTTCCCAAAGCACCTGTAGCACCCCAGTGCCTCTGCTCCCCCCACACTGGGGACACACCGGGCTCTCGGTGCACCGGGAGCTGAGACAAGACCGAGGCTGGAAAATAAATGGGGATTTGGGGGTGGAAATTGCCATGAGAAATAATCCCCCTCCCTTTCCCACCGACTCGCAGCCGGCAGCGGGTGCAGGGAAACGCCGGCAGCGCGGCTGAGGTCGTGGTGCCGAGCATCCCTCTGTGTGCCCACCGTGCTGTCTGTCCGTCCGGGGTGAGCCATGCATCCCCTCTCAGCGCAGAACTGCCCGTGCGTCCCCAGCGCATAGCGCTGCCATCAGTGAGGTTTCAGCCCTTTTGGGAAGCGCTTGCCCACCCCGCACGGGGAAACGTGGTGCAGCCCGGCCAGGGAACCAATTAGCAGCGTTAATTAAAAGCAGCCTGGAGCCTGCACCCGCAGAGAGGTGCTCTCGCACAGCCTGTCCTGCTGGGAGCTCCCGGAGAGAGAGCATGGAGAGTGAGCACGGGATTCGATTTGGGGTCTGCTGGTGGGCACTGCGTGGCTGAGGGATCTACGGGGCCACGGCAGGGTGCAGGAAACCACCTCCCCCCCCCTACATTCACCCCCAAAGAGCGCCGCTCCCCCCCACCCCCCCCCCCCCCCCAAAAAAAAAAAAAAAAAAAAAAAAAAAAAAAAGGTGAAAACAAAAAAAATTGCCAAAAACCACCCAAAACTTTATCTTTCCTGTTTTTCTTTCCTTTTTATTATTTTTTTTTTAATTTTTTCAAAAAGCTTTTTGTTTTTTTGGTCTGCGGGTCGACCGAGCAGCCCTTCCCTCCCCTCCTCTTCCTCCTCCTCCTCTCCGGCTCCACCGGCCCCTCGCAGACAGACGGACGGACGGAGGTGGCAAGAGGTGGCCCCGGTAGGGGAGAAAAACTGAGAAATAAAAATAAAATTTTAGAAAAAAAAAAAAAAAGAAAAAATTTAAAGTTGCATTTTCGCGTTGGTCTCATCGCCATCGACGGCGGCCCAGGAGCATCAGCTGAAGGGAACGGCTGCAGCGCTGGGCTGGAGCCGGTGCTCATCCATCCCCGGAGCGTGGCCAACCAGGAGCAGGGAGCCTTTGGGTTTTTGTGTTCCAAGTCCTCTTCCATTCCGTTTAAAAAAATAATAATTATAATAACCCGGCCGGAGGGGCGCGGGACGCAAATAAATATCAGTCAAGAGACGGGGCCGCTGCCGAAGCGGGGAGGAGGCCTGGGGTGGGGGTCGGCGTGGGGCCGGGCCCTCACAAGACCTGGAAGCGCCAGGAGGCCTGGTCCTTGTAGTCGAGGCAGTCGGGGGAGTTGAAGTTGAGCTTCCAGGAGGCGGCGGCGGCCGGCTCCTTGTAGTCCAGGCAGTCGGAGGAGTTGAAGGGCAGCGCGGTGCCGCCGTAGCCCTGGTGGTGGTGGTGGTGGTGGTGGTGGTGGTGGCCCGAGCTCTGGCTCAGAGGGTGGTGGTGGTGGTGGCCCGGCACCGAGGAGGGCCCCATGGGGCTGAGCTGGTGGGGATGGTGGTGGGAGTGCATGGGGGCCAGGTAGGAGCTGCAATCCACTCCCCCGAAGTAGGACGAGGAGGGCGGTGCGGGGTAGCCCTGGCCGTACCCGCCGCCCTGGCCGTAGGACACGGGGTAGCTGGCGGAGGCTGCGGGCCCCGCGCGCTGCATGCAGGACGCGCCGGCGGGCGGCAGGGGCTCGGGCACCGTCACCCCCGCCGGGGCCGCACCAGGAGAGATGGAGGCCGGGCTCCAGATGGATGAGGCCGTCGTGCCCAAGGAGGCTGGGGCAGCCCCGGCTGCCGCTGCCGCCCCCGAGGAGGCCGAGCTGGAGGAGGAGGAGGAGGCAGAGGAGCTGGAGGCGGCTGCCGGCGGCGTGAACTGCCCGCTGCTCTCCGAGCCTGAGCTCTCACGGGCCGGCGACGACTTCTTCTTCGCCGGGCGGCTCTTGGCTCCGCCGCCACTCTGCTGCTGCTGCCGGCACTTGGCGCGGCGGTTCTTGAACCAGACCTGGGGGAAATGGGGCTATGAGTGGTGGGGAGAGGAGCCGGGGGCCCTGCGTGCCCTCCTGCAGCCGGGCGGCCTCACCCGCACCCACACCCCGCCATTACACCCACGGAGCCCTGCCCGCGCCCCGACGGCCTCACCCCAAATGCCCTCAGCGAGGAGTGGGGCGTCCCGTCCTGCTGCACTGGGGTCACTGGGGCTTGAGGCCAAGGGAGCCCACCGAGCTCAGGACCCCTCGACAAGTGACCGCGGGGAAGGGGCCAGCACCCGCACACCCACCCCACAGGCAGCACTCCGGGGCCGCTGGTGCACAGCAAGGCAGCACAGGGGCTGTTAACCTCACAGGTGGAGGGGGGAATACAAGTTAAATAAGATCGAAAAAAATTACAAATGAACAGAATATAAACAAAAGCCCCTTCCCCTGAGCAGCACGGCTCACACACGCCCCAGGGAGACCGGCTGAGCGTGGCTGACCACGCCGAGTGCCCCTGTCCCGGCAGTACCTGCACTCGGGACTCGGGCAGATTGATCTTCAGGGCCACCTCCTCCCGCATGAAGATGTCGGGGTAGCGAGTCTTGGCAAACAGGGCCTCCAGCACGTCCAGCTGTGAGCGGGTGAAGGTGGTGCGCTCCCGGCGCTGCTTCCTCGGGGTAGCTGCGGGCAGGCACCGTCACTGTGGCACCGCGCGGCCCCGGCACCCCGCGGTGGGATGTCCTCGGAGCATCCCCCCCTCCGCTCTGTGGACCCCACATTATGGAACCCCTTGGTCCCACGGCACTGCCGTGCGGGGCCGGACCCCATCCCCATCCCGCTGCAGACGGGGTGAGCAGAGAAGCACTTGGGAAGGATCAGGCCCGGCCGCGATTGGAGATCGGTGGAGATTTCGTTGTCGGGAAATAAACGACTTTTCCACCTCCCCTCCTCCTCCCCCTTCTTTTTCTTTTCTTTCTTTCTTTCTTTTTTTT